TCGATTTTCCCATATGGTTAATATTAAGCTTCTACGTCAGACATTTATCAGCCACTGTGAGGGTTTTTTGTGTAATCTGCGTAATGTCGTGGAGATGCGCTACAGTTTATCGTGGAACTATTCATATGGACTGATGGCAGAACGGCCTGCCGTAGCGGTCAAATCCAGCCTACCTACACGGCCCCTTCATCCGCAGCGAGCAAACTTTTTCCATTTTAGAATCGAATATTTTTGATAGGGATACAGCAGAATTGAGGAAACTAGCTCATTCTCACGTTTCAATGTTTGCAACCCTCCCAGCATGACTCATCAGGGAACTGCTCGTCCTCGCGGATGATTAGCCTGGATGGGAATTGATCCAGACTTTGATCCGCGCGCATGTGGTATGTGGGGTGCCATCTTGTTATAGTATTACACACTTCTGTCCCTTTGTCAGTGACGGCGGGGGCGTCGAATATTTAAGGTGAAATTGATTCAGGTACGCCAAGATGCGCTGGAAAGTGTTGATGCTAATATGAACGGTGGCGCAGAAAAACAGCATCAATGTTTGAATGAGTACGAGAGAGAAGTAAGTGGGAGACGTAACCCTGCGGAAATAGTGGAAGATTCCTCTCCACCCGGAAGCCTTTCCAAGAGCATTACCCACTTCCTCCACTCTTGCGCTTTACCAAGGGTATACCGCTTTCGGTTGTGGTGTCCTGACGTCTCGGGAGACTTGAACGGCTCTCCTGTCAAAGTGCAATGGTGGAGGAGGTGGAAAATATGTGCACTCTGCACTCGAAAAGCTGGTTGATTGCGAGAAACTCCAACAAATCCCACGGGGTTACGTCCCACTCCGTCTTTTTTGCTGATGGAAGGGTTTCCCGTAAACAATCGAAGTATCCGAAAACATTAAGTCGTTAAAACCCTTTCTAAATAAATCACACTTGGTTCCCGAGGCAGCGTCGGTTTCGGTGGCAGGTGGGGTGACGATGGCGGCGGTTCCACTTTAACCATCACGATCATTGTACAACAAGCGTCGTGATGTGGCTTAGTGCCGCTGTAGGTTCGTTCCGACGAAATAATCTCCAGCCCGCTCCTCTCCCAGTTCTTGTTGCCTCGAGCCGAAAAAGATGGGACTCCCTTCTGGATGAATTTATGCTTCTGAAAAGTCATTTTATCGAATCTTGTTTTGATCGTTTTTAAGGAATGAATTGTCTCTCGTTGGCATTTCTTTGCTTTGTGGGGGTCATCATTTGACAGCTCTTGCTGTTACGGGAAATTTACTTCTTTCGAGCCTCCTGTAATAAGACCGTTTATATACAGTAGGTTAGCATAATTATATGATATAATATCTTACGATTTCGTTTTTATTCGATTCGATCTGTTCAGGCTGGAGTTAGTATTCCTTAGTCTGAGAGCATTTCAATCAGGATCACCTCGCTGAGGAACCCTCATGAGGTCCGGGGTCGTATTCGAGTCGCTAGGAACAAGCGAGCTCGTAAATATGGGGGACGGGTAGAAGAAGTAGGTGGTGTTGGAGGATCATACTGGAGCTGATGGGAGGGTGATGCAGAAATGTCCTGTTGACGGCAGCTTCTCTCATTGCGATGGTCTACCCTGTTCTTAGCGAGCATTTTAGCGACTTCGGGACATCCACAAGGCGTTGTTTGGCTTGGGAGGGTCATTTTGTACTAGGCTTTCTTCTGTTAGTTCCTGTTATTTACACGTTTTAGGAAGGTGCAGACTTTTTTCAAGTGTAGACGAAGCTCTATTCCATAGCTCTGAGGGAATTTACAGGATAGAACACGGAAGACATCGACAGTGATCGATGGGAATAAGCAAGATGCCCCCACTGAGCCGAAATTTGCCACCCGTGATTTTCTTGTGTTCATCGTTTCACACACAATTGCAGTAACAGTCAGCTAACCCTGGAGGGAGGACAGGTTGGATTAGCCTGCACCACCTCGTTCTATTTTGGCTTGGATTAGTGAAACAATTCGAAATAGCTTGCGCTTCTTCTTCTTTTTCTTCGAGGAGAGCGGTTTCTTTTGATCTTCGCCAATCCCTGGGGATCTTGCCATATGTTCCTCTTCCTCGATTTTGGCAATCGTTGCTTCCTTCACGTCGCCGTTACTACTCCGAGCAATGGGACATGGTTCACCCTGGTCCTTTCGATCGTCAGTAGCCATCTTTTCTCTGTTAGCTATGCTTGGAGATTCCGTCGGATTCTTCCTGTTTGATAAACGCGGTGTTATCCGGCAGTTTGCTTGCATCATTTCCATACGACTCTGGCGTCGATGCCGATTTCTTCGGCCCTTCCTGGAGTCGGCTCAG